TTAAGTTTCCAGTAAAGAAAGCCATTTTAATCAGTGAAAAATTAAAGTGGAAATTAATATCTTTATAACTATTTATTGAGAGTCAGTCACTTTTGGGGCACAATACAGAAATGAAAGCACTCATTAAGTATTCAGCCAGGTTCTTTATCAGAAGTATACACCACTCTACTAGTGGGCTTGGTTAACTCCTGTGCATCCATACTGAGGCCACTGATGCCAGCCTGTTTCCCTCACCGAGCATACATGTGACCAGAGCCAGACAGTGGGGAATTCAAGGGCAGAGACTGCCTATCCATCTTGGTAGGGGCAGAGCCAAGTACAGTGTCTAACAGTATGTATGCAGGCATATTTGTATAAGGAGTCAAACTCACTGCAATAAGCTAAACTAAACCACCTCAAATTTCTATGTGTTAGAAAAAAATGCATGATACATCCCCAAATTAATTAAATAATTTGGAGGGTTAGCTGCATTATCATGTGACTTGTCTACTAGTTACCTCTTCCATTGAAGACAATAGTCTTTGAACATTCATACGGGACTGATGTGTTCAATGAAACTCAGCCATTTTCCAGACGGCTACCTGTAAACCCTTGATAAGAGTCACGAATGTAAAAGACGACAGCCAGAGAAGTTTCATTATGAAAAGTCACTTGTTTTCAATAAATATATTTCTCCCTCCTTTGTTTGAGACACAGGTGCTGAGAAAAATTGCTCAGTGTTCAAGACTGATTCTGAATGACAACTGACTGACCCTCAGCCTCACATACAAGGAAACAGTGACAAGGGGCTATAGAAACTGGGTTACATTTTCATGCCACTTCTGTCTGGCAATATCTACTCAACTCCACCCGATGGAGCCAAGCAGGAAAGGTGGGTCATATTAGGAAGATCTACAAACTTCTCAATAGCTGAAAATCCAGGCTTTTGTTTAAAATAGCTCCATTAAAAATATTGGTAACTTTTGAAAATATAAACTACTATGAAGGCCAAACAAAACACATCTGCAGAGCATATCTGACACACAACTTCTGGTTTATGTTGTCACAATTGATTACTCAATAGTGGCACACCTGATGGAAATATTTCTGAAATTTTATGTGATTAGGCTGTTAAAATGTCAAGGAAACAAGTATTCAAGACAGTGTATACTATTATTCCACATGCAATATGTATACCTTAAAAAATACCAGGTATTTGGGAACCAGCAGTTAGCGTAATGGCTATGTTGCTGGACTCCCACGTAGTCGACCACGATTTGCGTCCCGGACCCAGTGGCTTAAAACATGCTGGGCGTTTGTGCGTGCGTGCCCAAGATCCCAAGAGGAGAATGGAGGAGAAGGGATTGCAGCGTGACCATCCCCGCCCCGGGGGGTGATTTCTCACTTTCTGTCTCTCTGTCTCTCTCTGTCTGTCTGGTGAGCAAAAACCTCTCTCAAAACAAACAAACAAACAAAAAAAAACAGGTATTTCACAAACTCCATTTATTACACAAATGAATATTCGAGTCTAGAAGATTGTACAGAATAGTATGTGTAACTATCTAAGGCCTTATTTTAAATATGGTATAACTGAGTTTAGGTCACAGGTTCAAGTCGGTTCTCACTGTGTGCAGATGTGTGATTGCATTTTTGAACGATGACTAGCCAATTATAATGACTATGAAGTTCTGTCATAACTGACATTTTAAATAAAGCATTACACTAAGAAAGCCAAAAATTTAACCTCATTATAATCACTCTAGGTATTCAGAATTCTGTTAATCATGTAGGGAA